GGAAAAAAAAGGGGGAAAAAAAAAGGGGAAAAAAAAAAAGGGGGGGGGGGGGGGGGGGGGGGGGGGTCCAGCATGACCATGGCCTACACAGCAGCGCCTTGAAGAACAAAGTATGTGTACACATGCATTGAAATATGGACATGTGTATAGATATACATACCTCTTCGTTTACCCCCTCGAAAAAGGCGGCCACTACGTCCTCCTCCGAGAGCTCCATGGCCTCCGTCGACTCCTCGCCATTCGGTCCGATCGCGGGCACCTGGTGGAAAGGAGAGGGTACAGCAGCATACCATCACGTCAATGCCACTGCGACCAGGTGCAAGTAGGAGCTCTTTGTGTGCATGAGGCAACTTGAACATTCCATCTGTGTCATGCGATAACTCACCGGCCTCTTACGGGTCGACCGTCCTAACTAATGCGGCCTTGTCAAGGGATCAATACCGCAACGGGAAAGGCCAATTTCGGTTCAAATCGGAATCGAACAACACCACGGGATCAAATGCTGTGTCCTTAACGTAAAAGACTTCGGGTGCCTTGCGCAACAACCGTTGAAAGCAAAAAAGCTTCCAAAAGCACACCACAAAAAAAAAAAAATCCGTCATGCTGACAATATTTGTGTGTTCTTTCTACCAAAAGAAAAGAACACTACACCGCCACCACCACCACCACAGCACTGGGCCAGCAAGCAACCTTAACCTTGCCGCCCCCCTACGCAAGACCCACAAACCCAGCGGACGACGCCCGTAACCGCAAGTAGCCACTACCGTACATAACATCTCGTGTAGTGTAGTGTAGTGTACCGCATGAACAAGAGCCTGCGACATCACCACCACTGCTGATGTAGTGCGTGCGTGCGTGCGTGCGTGTTGATTGCGCTTTTGCCTCACCTTCATTGCCGTGGGCACGCAGGCAACCACGGCGCTGGGCTTGTTGGCCTGAGGTACTCCGAAGAGGGTGATGTGCTCGCACAGCTCGGCTGCCACCTCGTTCAGCTCCTGCTTGCCACACACACAGCAACAACAACAACAACAATCATTCGAACAACGACAAACTCTGAAAACATTGTGTGCGTGTGATCTCAACTAGTTTTCCCTGTACTCGCATTATGGTTTGGGGGTGGGAATCAATACCAAACTCTACCCGAAACCTACAAACTACGCGTCGTGGGTCGTTGCGTGCGTGTACGCAAATTGAAATAAAGACAGCTTCCGTTTGTGGTTTCGCAAAGGTATTTAAATCCCACCCCGTCAACACGTGAAACTACTACGGAGTAGAAGTACGTATTACTGCGGAGTTGTACTACTATGTAGGCG